AGGGAACCTTGTCCTCATCCCTTTCAGGGAACCTTGTCCTCATCCCTTTCAGGGAACCTTGTCCTCATCCCTTTCAGGGAACCTTGTCCTCGTCCCTTATCCGGGGACTTTAACAGCATCCCTTATCCGGGGAGCCTCAACCGCATCCCTTATCCGGGGAGCTTCCTTGTTCCTCTTAGGGTTTTATTGCTAGCACTATTATTTCATTTTTTACTTACAACTCCAGAGCATCAGGTCCCAGTGGGGCCTCCATTTGTCACGAGCATCAGGGTCCCCGTATGGGCCACCATTTGTCGCATCAGGGTCCCCGTACGGGCCACCATTTGTCGCGATCGTCTGGGTCCCCGTACGGGCCACCATTTGTCGTGAGCCGGGACTCTGTCCAGCAGAGTCCAGGAAAGACGACACAGACACCAAGGTGGGGTTCAAGCTTCTGTTTCTCTTTCATCCTTTATTCTCTCTTATTCTCTCTCACGTTCTCTTCACTATGATGCTGTCTCTCACTATGATGCTGTAGTCGTTGTTCTGTTCTATTACATACCTAGCTGTTTATATAGCATTTCCAACAGCCCTTCCCCCAGGCCGGTACCAATCAGGGCACACACACGTGCAGCGGGCAGGCAGAGTGGCAGCTCACTGGCCACGTAGCAAGATCATCAGGCTGGCAGCACCTGTTTTGGGGCTCACCATACTTCAGAGTTGGGGTAAACAAGCGGGATTCACGAGCCTTGGCAATCAGCCAAGAGTTGAAGTAAACAGCACGAGGTTTGGCAGCCAGCCAGGGCTCCATCTTTGGCTGGCTCGGCTGTGCTCGCTTCCCACAGTGGCCATCAGGGAAATGAGGTTAAACTACTTTAAAATTCTGCTTCATCCCAGTCATAACGGCTGTTATCACGAATACAGATGACAAGTGCTGGCGTGGGTGTGGGAAAAGGAGAGTGCTTATTCGCTGTCGGTGGGAGTGTAAATCTGTGCAGCTACTATTGGAATCATTTTATAGGCTTCTCAAAAAACAGCACTACCATGTGACCCAGTTAAACCTCTGCTGGATGTGGACACAAAGGACTTTAAATTCTACTGCAGACAGACTTGCACACCTGTGTTCACTGGTTATCTATTCATAATAGCTAGGGAATGGAATCAGCCTAGCTCTCCATAAACTGATGAATGGTTGATGACAATGTGATACATACACCCAATGGAATTTTATTCAGTTACAAAGAAAAATGAAATTTGCACATAAGTGGATGAAACTTGAAAATGTACTAAGTGAAATAACCCAGGTCTAGAAAGACAAATGCCATATTTCTCTTGTGGATCATAGCTTTGAGTTTTTAGATTTTTTTGTTTAACGTGGAATGTGTAGAAACCTGGAGGCATGCAAGGGGCATGGTGGGGGTCGAGGAGAAGGTGCCTTAAAAGGGTGGGGAGGGTGGTAGAAGAGATGTGATAGGAAAATGGAGGAGGGAATTCTGAGAGTGGCAAGATGGACTGGGGAGTAGGGACAGGAAGAGGGTGTGGGAAGAGGGTTAGTCAGAACTAAGGGCGTTTGAAGACGCCATAAGGAAACCTACTGTTTTATAAGCTCAAAACCCCCCAAAATTTAGAAAAGGATTTGAATGGATATATACCATTCATGGGTAGATAGTATTGATCCCAGAAGCCATGGATTGATAAAAATCCCTGTGCCTTACTGGGCATGGTGGTGCATGGTCTACATAGCATGTTCCAGGTCAGCTAGATCTACATAATGAAACCCTGCCTAAAAAAAAATCCCTGTGCCAGGTGTGGAATACCTCCCCAAGGGTTGTTACTAAAGAGGCTGCAGAGCTCCCCTGGATTATACAGGTTATGGCCATTGCTCCTGGTTGCTTACCAGAACTGTTTAATAAAATCTTACATCTGAAAATATGACAGAGACCACACTGGAACTGAGCAGGAAGCTTCCTCCATGCTTGCTAGCTTTCACAGTGCTGGAAGATGCTACATAGGCAGTAATGATCCTTCCCAGCTATGGAACTTGCATGCTATAATCCCAATTTGCCAGGCAAGATATGCCTACTTGTGCAATAGTGGCATGGCTGCTTTGGCAGTAACCAACTGCTTTTTAAAAAAAATGTTTTTTTTATGTGTATATTACCTGCATGTATGTAAGTGCACCTGTGTCCTGCAATGCCTGCAGAGATCAGAGGAAGGTGTTGGATTCCCCTGGAACTGCAGTTAAAGGCAGTTGTTATCTACTATGTGGGTGCTGGGAATTGAACCTGGATCCTCTGCAAGAGCAGTCAGTACTCTCAACTGCTGAGCAGCTATCTCTCCAGCCCCCCAATTCCTTTTTGACCGGATCTGAGGACTGTTCTTCAGGAAAGAGTTTGTGCCTAGCACTGTGGACATGCTTGGAGAGGTCATAGGCTTTAGAGGTGAAGTAACTACTTTTGTTTTGCTAAATGGACATGTCAAACATGTGTCTAAGGCCTCCTAAATTATTTATGTATGTACTCAGACTAATGCTGTCCTCAGCCTTGACCAAAGAAGTTTCTCTTTGCAGTAAGTGATGGCTAATTCAGAGAAGAAGTAGTTTATTCTGACTTACAATTTGAGAATATAGTCCATCAGGTGGGAAAGGCATGGTGGCAGGAATGTGAGGCAGCTGGTTATATTGCATCCATAGTCAGGAGGCTGATAGAGAAGTTCGCTGGTGCTCAGCTTTCTGCCTCCTTTTCTTTAAAATGTTTTAATTTGTATATATTGTACATAATGATTTTCATTGTTTTCATGTATGTATATAACTTATTTTGATCATATTCATTCACACTGCCTTCTCTTGTCCCCCCCCCACTCTAACCCTTCCTCTTCCCCCAGCCCTCCTTCTACGTTCATGTCTTTAAAAGGCATTTACTTTAATTATTTTCAGGGGAGCATGGTTACCTTACCACTGAAGAAAATGTCTTTCCCCCAGCAACCATTAACTACCTATAAATCCTGAGTGAGGCTGAGACCTCATGAACCCCTTTCCCCTTGATGTCAGAATGTTGATGGGCTCAGTCTTATGCAGGTCTTGTGCAGGTAATCACAGGTGTAGAGTTCAAGGGGCAATGATTATGTCATTCCCAGGATACTGTGTCCCACAGCACTTTACCCCTTCCTCTGGCTTTTACATTGTTTCCTCCTTTTCAGTGATGTTTCCTGAGCCATTGAGGGGATGAGATTAGTGGCTGGTCATTTAACAGTAACTTGTTTTTAATCTGCAGTTATTACTGGCCATTGCACAAAGAAGCCTCTCTGACCAAAGCTGAGGGCAACATTAATCTGTGGGTGTAAACAAATATTTAGAAGGCAGTTTGGTGACTACAACATGCCCATTCAGCAAAACAACTTTTCTAGCCCTCGGCTGGGGTATGTTATATTTTAAATAAACAAATGTGAATACAAATAGAAATCATCTGTAACTAATTCTACGGGAACTGGAATACGTCCTTTTGTCAAACAAGGCAGCTCAAATCTCACGCTCTTGACACACAGCCTCTGGGGCCAGTTTGGCAACAAGTCAGTTACTGTCTCTCTGGTCATGTCTGGGTTTTCTTTAAATCTTTTCTTTAGTGTTTAATAAGAAGGTTGGTGCCTACAGACACTTTTTCTTCTGGTAATGAAGTTGAGAGGACTGACCAGGGCATGGTCAGCTCTGTAGAGAGCTTCAGTCACCATGACCACCAGAAGACTGGGTTCTTGCCCACCACCTGGCTGCAAATTTTTTTGACTGTGCCCACAGTGAGATGTGTGGCTGAATGGCATCAAGGAGGCCACAGGCTACTGCCACCTGTGTCTAAAGTCATCATGCTTACAAAACTATTCAATAAGGTTAGAAAAAATTGGAACATTTCTTATTTTTGTCCATTTATGCTTGGGGACACTTGGCTAGTAAGTTGCTGATTATGTAACCCATGGTAACCTAGCTGCCATATTGAGAATACTGAGACACTCAAATGTGTTCTTGGGCTGCTCTAGGGGATTCTCTTTCTATTGTAGTTTACCACTGACTGCTTCAGTCCAGGCCTCTGGGAGGTGATTGTTCACTCTCACAGCCTGGAAGGGATTCAGCAGGTCAAGGAAGGCCTGTGAAAGGGCAGCATAGGGGAGGAACAGATGGCCATGTTGTGTTCAGTGATACCTTTCTTCTTTTTGGGGTGGGCAGGTAAGTATGATGTGTATGTTCTCATGCTAATAGTCATGATTCAACTAGACTTTCATGTGAGTTACAAGCCTTAACTGTCATCATCTAATGTGTGCTTTGTGTTTTCAGGCTGAATATGGATGCCTCCCGAGAGACTCCTTCCACTGATGGCCATGCAAGTGATATAGTTACAGAAAGATTCCTGGTTGAGTCCAAGGAGTCCATAGCTCACACTCAGCTCAGTTGCAGCACACAGCACTGTGCCTTCCCTCTAGATGGGAACCAGCTCTGTGTGTGGAGCCCCAGGGGTCCTTCTCACCAGGCAGGTCACAAACCAGTGGTGCTTTGTTAAGCCCAGGGCCATGATGGCCTCGTCCTGCCTTTCTGTTTTCTGATATTCTGGGAACATTAGCTTCCATGGATTTAACTATGAGCTATGGCAGAAAATTTTGATAAAGCAAAGCTATTATGTTTCTATTTTTAGAATACAAATGATCTGGAATTACTTTATTAAGTCTTCAGTGAGAACACGAACAAGAAAAGATTCATCGTCACACAGCCAAGCCTCCTACACACCTCCAGTTTGAGCTCTCTTAGTGCTTAGGTAAAAAATGTTCTCCATACAACATGTACACCCCTGGGCAGCCATGGCCTTGCCAATCTTCTCCCTCCCAAATGCCACGGCACCCGAGACACATTTGACTCATGTTCAAACTTCATGTAAAGGGAATTACATGCTGTGCATTCTCTTGTGGCAGCATCTGCACTCACTAGTGTTTAGGAGAGTCCTGCACTTCCTGCACTGTTGCGTAGTGCACTTACTGTGTGAATAGACCCCACTGCATCCACTCTACTGTTAGTACAAATTTGCTTCTTTTCCAGCTTTTTGGCTATTTGGGGGTGACACGTGTAACTGCTGACTTACAGGGGATGCACATTCTTAGTACACAACGCCAAGGAATTTCCCAAGTGACTGTGCAAGTCTTTGTCTTTGCAGGTGACCATCAGAGCTGCAGGTCATCACAGCTTTGCCTGCACTTAGTCCCACTGTAGCAGCCTCCTGTTACAGAAGTCCTTTATGCTTTGGGATGACTTAAGGGCATCATCTTCTTGCATGCTGATTGACCACTCAGATAGTCTCTTAGCAGATGCATGTGGACCATTCCTGCTCATTGTTTACAGTGCTGGGGTGTCTTGATATTTCTCTATGATCTGCTTTTTCCCGTTGGTCTGAAGTAGCTCTCTTTTATTACTCACGATGAGCTTTTTTCTTCCAAACAGAATTTGCTTCTGGTAGCTTGCCATGCTAAGGGCATGAGTTACATTTACTTCTTGAGTGTGGTTTTTTCTTTATCCTTTCTAAGCTTAGGAGTTGGCAGCGTGGCCTGCCCTCATCTTAGTAGCCCGTCTTTCTAGCACAAATGTATTAAAATTCACCCATACTGTTTTACATCTGCCACACCCCCAACATGAAGGCACTCAAATCTATGTAAGAATTGCCATTTAACATGACAGAACTCTCTCTCTCTATAGCATTTGTGATATGTTCTTGAAAATGATGTATTTGATTATACTGTGTCTGTGCTCTTAGGTCCTTTAATGTCTTAGTGTCTCAGCAGCATTTTATAGACTGTCTAATAGTGAAACTTTTGTGAAAGTTTTTTTCCCCTTTGGCAGTACTAGGGATCGAACCTATGGGCCTCATGCATGTTAAGCAAGTGTTGTACTGGTGAGTTTCATTCCCAGCTTCCTAGAGGATGACTGCATGGGACAAGTGCTTGCAGGCCCTGCGATCACAGTCTTTTTCCGTTCTGAGCTTGATACCATAATTCTTCAGCTCTATTCAAAAAGGCCACTAAATTTTGTAATTTTCTGGTTTTCTTGTCTTTCTCACCCAGAGAATTGATGTAGATGAACTAGCTTGTGCCACCTGACATAGAGTCCTTGTCCTTTCCATGGTATCCCTCCTCCCAAACTGCCTGGTATCTGATTATATGTAGACAGCCCTCACATTTGAAGTAGCCATACTCCTGTGATTATATGTAGACAGCCCTCACATTTGAAGTAACCATACTCCTGTAATTATATGTAGACAGCCCTCTACATTCAAAGAACTGCACTCCTAAGGCTGTAGGTAGAGAGCCCTCTGTGTTAGAAGAAAGTGTTCTGAGATTTGGGTTCCCATTGGTTCCTCAGATGGATTTTTAATGTTGAATAATCTGTAGCTGGGACATGCCTCTTTCTGAATCAGAGCATCAGTGCTCACTTGGCTTCTGGCAGACTATTTTGATGTATGACTTAGTATGCTGGGGCTTCTGGGGGTGAGAACGAGCTTGCTCTCACCTGTACCCTAGGTTTGAGGGGAGAGCAGATCCAAGAAGCTACAAGTGCTCAGTGTGGTCCTTGTGGCTTAGACAGGGGCTGGAGCCCAACTGTGGTTCCTGAATACACAGTGGATAAAAGTGTTCACACCACTCTGGATTTACTGCTTGGGTTTGTACTTGGAGAAGAGACCTAGGTGTGGTTAGCTGCCTCTGCAGTGGTGAGTGTGGTCAGTCTCAACTCCCCAAGCCTGTTGGCTATTTGATCCCTCCCTTACTGGCATCTCCTCACTGAAGTATATAGAATATATTTCTTTCTCATCAAAAATCCCTTGATGATTTTACCCAGCTGTTCATGTGATGATAGCATGCCCTTTTCTCTATGACTGGACCTTCTGCAAGTTTAGCCTTCAGTTATTCCCTGCTGAACATTTCCTGTAAGTCTCAGATCATTTCAGATGGCTGGTGGTGCCCCTCCTGCCTCCCAGACCGCCTGCCACTGTCTTCCTGTCTGGGTTCAACAGGGCGTAATCCTTCCAGTTGCTCAGGTCAAAACCTCTGGTTTTTCCTCGATCTCAATCCATAGCCAGTCCATTGGCAGTTCCATCTGTTTCTTTTTAAACGTTTGTGCATCTTTCATACACCTACAGGTGCTTCAGGTTCAAGCCACCAAATTTCTTCTCTGAATTCTCCCATTAATTTCTTGCCATCTCCTTCTGCTCTGCTCTCCCTGTCTACGTTTCATTCTGAACTCAGTGGCCAGAGGGTCCTTCAGAGCGAGTCTGCTTCTATCTAGCTTCTGCTTAAAGCCCCCAGCTCCCCACCCATGCAGAGCAGGAGTCACACCTGTAGACCCCATTCTCATCCTGGAGGAGCAGGGGCTCAGCTCTGCCAGAGCCTTAGTTCTGCTTGAGCCACTGCTGATGCTGTGGTGTCCCACGTGTCTTCTTTGCCACAGGCCCTTTTTGGCCACTATGTGGTGCTTGTCCTCTTTCCTGCTTGGTCTCCCCCTCTCTTCCATGCACATCTCCATCTAGTCCTCTGTGTATCTTATTTGTGTTGTTTCCAGGGGCTTATTTTCCTATCTTCTCACCTCATGCATACAAGTTTTTCACCATGGCAGAGGCTTGACTGGCTGCAGGCTGCTCCTGTTGATCCTGGAAAGAGGCTGACATGGCATGTGCGTGTGAAAGATGATGGGCAAGTCCCTGAGTATTTCACTTTGGGATACACATGCATTTCTTTCTATAGGGCCTTGATTGACTGATGATATACGCTGATTAACAGTGGTCCTTACGGCCCGGGGCAGATAGCAGGCAATGTGTTCTCTGCTCTCATACTTGTGGCCTGGCTGGTGTGGCTCCACTTGAGCCCTCTTTCTGCATGCTTTTCATGGTTACCTAGGGACTTGTAGACTGGCATGGAGATGCCCTCCTGATAGTGGAGAGTTCCACAGATGAAGGGCTTTCATGTCACACTGTCTCCCTGTCCCCAAACACTAGTCAGAACATGTTAGTGGCAGAGCCTGACTGGGGATGGGCATAGCAAGAAGTGCTTGGTTCAGGGCTCGCTCTTCACAGCTCTCCTGGGTGCCTGTAGCTCCCTGGAGACCTGTTTTCCTGATGACTTAGAGTGCCTTCTTGCAGACTCTGAAGAAGGGCTGTGTGCCATCTTGAGATGCTCTTGAAAAACTGCACTACATCTCAGCCCATTGCTACTCCTTTAGAGCAGAGAGCTGAATCTTGGATATTTTCTAGGGATGTGATATGTCTGCTGAACTGACAGTAATGTCTGAAACCCTCTTCAGAGATGACTCCGCAAGGGACTGTCCTGAGCACCTTTTCAGAAACTGTGCTGTGTTTGAGATTTAGTCTGGATGATGGCGCTGTTGCAGTGTGTTCTGGAAACAAAATATCCATACTGGATGTGGAGGTAAGAATTACGCACTCTGTGGAGGTAGGGAGTGCACAGTGGGTCACCTCTCAGGCTGGAGCCTGTCAACCAGCCATTTCATTGCTGCTTTTTTTTTTTTTTGGTCTTTTTGAGACAGGGTCTCCCTGTAGCCCCAGCTGTCCTCCTGGAACTCACTATGTAGGCCAGGCTGGCCTCTGCCTCCCAAGTGCTGGGATTAAAGGCTTGCGCCACCACGCCCGGCTCTGCTCTCCTTTTTAAAATGGCAGTTTAGTTTAGTTGTGTCATCTGTCATGTACTTATCTATCTATCTATCTATCTATCTATCTATCTATCTACCTACTACCATCTATCTTCTATCATCTATCATCATCTATGTATCTATATCAATCATCTGTCTATATCTATATCTATCAATCATCTATATCATCTATCAATCTATCATCTATCTCAGTCATCTACAGACTTATTGATCATCATATCTTGTTTATCAGGGGTCTTTCTGCTGTCTGATCAAGTGTTAATAAAGTTCAAGCAGTCCACCCATTCCTGGGACATGGAACCCCTCCCAAGACCTGCAGGGGAAGGTGGCTGTTACTCTCAGGAGACCCTGGTTCTTCCACAACTATGTTGCTCAGGCAGTTGTATGGAAGGTGTGCTGTTATAAGAGTTTTGAGGGCAAAGCCTGGGCTGTGAGAGGCTTCAAATGGAAAGAAGGGATAATTTACTTCCTGGTAGCTGTTAACATGCTTATATTTTAGTTACTCCCTAATAGAGACTAGCTTCCAGGGGAGGTGGAAGGTGGGATAAGTACATTCAGATAGGCAGTAGAGGAGGGAGGAGAGACAGAGACAGTGATTGATGGAGGCAGACAGAGAGACAGATACAGAGCTAGATATAGAAAGAGATGAGAGGCAAAGACAGTGATAGAGAAAACAAATGGAAGACTCAGTGACAGCAAGGGAGGGTTTCATGCTGAACCACAGGGACTGCTTCGTGGCATCTGTCAGGAAATCCAGGAGCACCAGTTCCCTGTGTTGTACCAGGTCAGCCTTGGCTGGTCCCTATCCTTTATACTTACTGACAGTGTACCTCCCGTGGCACTTGGGCATTAGAATTTTAACGGCTAAGTTGATGTAGGATAGGTCCAAATTTGGAAGGAGACACATGTAAAAGTAGTATTTATTTCTTAAATTAAAAAAAAAATCGTGTGTGTATGTATGCACATGCATGTGCATAGGTGTGTGGGCACCTGCATACAATGGCATGCGTGTCATGGTCAGAGGATAACTTCTGAGAGTTGGTTCTCTTTTTCTACCATGTAGATTTCAGGAATTGAGCACAGGTCCCCAGGCTTGGTGGCAAGCACCTTTACCTGCTGAGCCATCTGACGGGCCCCTTGGAATATATTTTAACAGGCTATTATGGAATATGACTCGGTATTGATCATTCTAGAAAAATCCATTAGTAACCTCTTTCACAAATACTCCTAGAAGCAATCTGTACTAGTGGAGCTGCAGGGCCACCACGGCCCTGTAATGGCAGTGGGGTTCTGTCCCTGGCAAGTACACATCCTCATCTCTGTGTCTGAAGACAGAAGCTTTAAGGTAGGATGGGAAAATGCTGTGAACTCTTTGATCATCATTACCACACAAGTCATTTTCTTGGTGTAACTCACATACACAGAAGTGGAGTCTGACACTCTGGTGGGTGGAGTTGGGATGTTCCTTAGTGCATTTATTGAGTCTTTGGCATTTATTGACAGGCTTGAGTCCACTCTAGGGACTTCTCAAATACAGACCTTGAGAGGGTGGTTGATATCTGCAGTGTTTCCCAATGACAAGGAGCTATGTTGTGTCTCAATTTTGTTGCATTTCAAATGGGCACAGTGGGTCCTCTTGTCTTATTAATGATCTTGAAAATAGAGAAAGCTGATATTTTGGAATGTCTTCGAGCTGTGCCTGCCATGGAGGGGATGATGTATGTATAGCATCATACATGCATCCATAGTTGGTATGCAACTCTGGATGAGCACCGTCTGATCCACAAACCTATTCATACTTCTTCACTTCATCCTTCATTGGAGTGTTAACTACATGCCCAGGAATTGTAACCCTCTCTCATGTGTATGTCTCCAACCCTCCAAAACCCAAAGGTGGTTATTTCTGGAAGTCAAAACCCAAAGGTGGTTACCTCTGGAAGTCAAAACCCAAAGGTGGTTACCTCTGGGAGTCAAAACCCAAAGGTGGTTACCTCTGGGAGTCAAAACCCAAAGGTGGTTACCTCTGGGAGTCAAAACCCAAAGGTGGTTACCTCTGGGAGTCAAAACCCAAAGGTGGTTACCTCTGGAAGTGGCAGTATTTTTTTCACCATGTTTCTGATATCTTGTTTTAATAGTTCAGTGATTCAAAATGTGAATTTTAATGTTTTGAAGTTGTCCCAAAGGTGGTTACCTCTGGGAGTCAAAACCCAAAGGTGGTTACCTCTGGGAGTCAAAACCCAAAGGTGGTTACCTCTGGGAGTCAAAACCCAAAGGTGGTTACCTCTGGAAGTGGCAGTATTTTTTTCACCATGTTTCTGATATCTTGTTTTAATAGTTCAGTGATTCAAAATGTGAATTTTAATGTTTTGAAGTTGTTTACTGTCCTAGTTTGTTCTTCATTGCTGTGTCAAAATACTCTGACCAATACCAACTTGGGGAGGAAAGGGTTTATTCAGCTTACATCTCCCAGGTCGCAGTTCATCAGGGAGCCTAAGGTAGGAGCTCAGGGCAGGAACCTGGAAGCAGGAGCTGGATCACAGGCCATGGAGGAATGCTGCTTACTGGCTTACTCCCCTGGCCCCTGCTCAGCCTCTTTCGTATGCAACACAGGCCCACCTGCCCAGGAGTGGCACCACCCACAGTGCGCTGGGCCCTCCCACATCACTCATCAAGAAGATGCCCT